GAGCCTGCAAACACCATGATGGTATTGCTGAGAGGTAGAACCCAGTGCAGTTAAATGACCCACTCCCTAAGTAGCAATGAAGAGAGCGGTGGTAGATCCCCTGACCTGGAAGCATTGAGCCCCAGTTTGGTGCCCAGGACTGGGAGGCTCTAAACATGTCTGTTTCACTGACTTAGTGGATATTTGGGGTGGTTTGGGACCTCTGTAAATGGTGTTGAGAGTTTTGGTCACTGTGAGTAGCACGAAGCTGATGATGAGACCTTCGATTCTTCAGTGTGTAGTCGTATTCAGTCCACTCTGAGCAGCTGATCCAAAGCATTGCAACAAGTGAAGATGTGGGGTTGCTGGTGTACGCTGCCAGCAGATTTCCTGTTTTGCTCCACATGGTTTCCTTGCTAGAGAAGAAGAACAAAGGTGACAGTATTAGAAGGAAGTGGAGACATTGCTGGCAGACCGGGCTCATTCTGGGCTGTGGAGAGCTGTCCAGGAAACGTCTTTTGGCTCAAGAGTTTGGTGACTATTTAAGATCAAAGAAAGATGGTTTCTTCATGAGGACATTGAGGTGTGGAATTTGCCTGTTTTACATGACGCTGTGTGTGACAGACAGAATTTAATTTAATACAGGATGCCTAAGATCTTGTCAACTTACCCTTAAATAACAGGATTGCTTTCTGACCATTCATGTCTTCATAGGGCCTTAAGGATATTTTCAATTTTGTTGGAAACAAGTCTTTGCTGTACAACCCCCCTCCCTGCTGTTATCTGTAGTAAGATTGTAGTAGGGAGAGAGGCGTAGGATGTTTGCTTTACCTTGGTGCTTCCACTGCATCTCGACTGTGTGCTATCCCCTCAGATGCTGAAGCTTTATAGTGAGCACAGAGCAGATGTGGTTGCAGGTCTGCTGGCACTCGAGGGCATGCGTGTTGCTTCTGTAAATTCAATGATCCTTTAAACCCACCTCAGTCCGAATAGAAAACAACTTCCCAGAGGTATAATTCTTCCCATAAGTTTTACAGGAACACCCAAACTGAAAGCAGAGGTCCTTTGCCCGGGGGACTCTGCAACATGAACTCTACTGCTCAGCTTCCCCAGTAAAAACAGGAAAAGAATTAGAGAGTTTTATATGTCTGACCCTGGATCTGTAACTTGCCACAGCAGACAGGGAAGTTGCCCCCGTGGTGTTTCACATGGCACATCCTAATTCCCCCTCTACAGAGAGAACTTGACTCATTGCTTTTTAATAAGACTGCCGCCCCACGGCGGAAGCTGCAGCGATCAATGTGGCTTACTCAGTTCTCAGAAAGGTCATTAAAAGACCATAGATATAAATTTAAAAGAGTGTTTGTTCACATCCTTAATGTTAAAGATGTTCTTCTCTCTCACTTCCTTAAGAAGCATCGTGTGAAGCTGTTGTGCATCCGACCTGCCTGACAGCAAAGTGGAAAGAGCAGGTTATTGCTGTTAGTGTGCCCTCAGCTGCAAGAAAAGGCAGGAGAGAAAATAAATGGTCAAAAATCCCACTTTTATCGTTACTTGGAGCAGAGCTGGACCTGCTGACATCTCCAGATGCAGTCTGTAATATTGACCTTGGTGCCCTATAACTATATAGGAAAGAATAAATTCTTTTGTTGTTTTTTTCCACCTCTTCATTCCTGCATTCCTTCCTCCCTCCCTCACTATGGTACTGGATTACTGCCTGAAGTATTGCATGTATCATCCCTTTAGCAGCTATATTTTTCCAAAATGTGGGTACTGTGAAGGAATGCTAAAGCTCTTGGTGTCTGCCGATATGATATGTTTAACAGTTCAGGAGGACAGAAGTATCTCAAGTTCCAGTTGTTGGGATGTGAAACACCACATCCAGCTCAGTCAGGTTTTTGCCACTTGCCACTAGTTGCATCAGGCCAGGGTGAGCTGGAAATGTGGTGGCTTGAGTTATGAGTCTCTAAGGTGGCTTTCTGATGCTCCAGTTCAGGCACATCTCTAGCTGTGGTTGCATGAGGGCACAAGTCCCATCTCCTCTGGGCATGGCTGGTTTGTTGGTGCTGCCCTGAGTGTGACAGCCTGGGGCTTCTCTGCCGTCCCCAGCATGGGGAACATCGTGAAGCTCCATGTAGCTCCGAGTGGTCGGTCTGAAAGGGGACCTGGGAGGAGGATGGGGCAGATTGGCCCCATGGCTGCAGTGGGACTGGAGAGCTGGCTCACAGTCCTGCCATTGCTTTACAGGGACCATATGTCTCCAGGCATTTTCTTCCCTTTCTCTGTACTTTACCTAAGATGAGAATATTCCATTCATAGCTCATGGGGTATTGTGAGCATAAATAATAGCTATTTCATACCCAGCCTGTGTAGAAGTAAGAGAAGCCAAGCTGTGTAAATACCTAAATGTATGTGTAAGGAGTCAGATATTGCGTTCACCTTTTTTTTGGAGAAGAAATTGCATTTTCTTGTGTGTCTAAACTATAGGTATCATTTGCCTGTCATGACATACCGATTTCCATTTCTGAGCAGCAGGCTGCAGTTGGATATCTCCCTTCTCCAGCATATGGCAGGTGACAGGATTAGACCAAAACCCAGAGCCACAGAGCCAGCAGTCACCCTTCAGTGTCCACAGGGTCCTCTCCCCATATGAATTTTTTCCTTCACAACCCATACAATTAAATAGACCAGAGTTCTCCCCACCTAATAACTTTCATTTCCAGTTTTCTGTCTTATTCACCCACATACACATTCATCTCCAGTCACCTAATAATTCATAAACACCATATGCTCTCCTGTGCTTTATTTAGTACTATGTCTTCTTCCATTATGTTCTGCCAACTTCCCGCCCTGTACATAAACAAATGTGAACTTTTCCTGTTTTCCATTTGCTTACATGTACACACAAGCATACACAAACACTCCCACAGACTGAAGCATGCTTGCGGAGGCACACTCTGCTGTGAGCTCAAGTCCTGCCCATCACCTGTGGATATCACTGGAAATCACACCAAAAATCAGGATCTGAACACTACTATTTTGCGCTCACGCATGTCATCTCAGCACATCAGAAAGCACCAGGGACTGATTGATTTTGTAGCTGTTATTGCTGCCTGAACTGTTCCTTTGTTAACAGCTTTTTCTAAGAATTGAACCTTTTTGTGGTTAGCAGATTCCCCAGTGACAAAATCCATGTTTCTGCAAGTAGATTTGTTAATCTTATATATTCCAACCCTAACCATTCTATGATTTTATGAATGGTTTTGAGAAAGAACTTGAGAAATAACTCTTTAATAATCACAGCTTGCCTCTGCTTTGATTTCATGAGGTTATAGCAGAAACTTGAAATCTCAATAAGTGGGTTTATCAGGGAGTGAAATCGCAGTATTCTACTGGGGTGGGTGTTCAGCCACTTAAGTTGCTTCCTATAACTTTATATTTATTTTTTGTCCAAACTAGTTGTTTTAAAACAGGTCCCAGGGGCAGAGGTTTGACATTTTTCACTTAACCAATATCTAGGTAGAAGTCTCCCCACTCTGTAGGTGAATTAAGATACTGTTTGTGCTGTGTGAACTCTCCAATCTAGCTAATAAGAGCCACAGACTGTTGCTAACAGGAATCAGGTGAAGCAGCAATGAGAAAGCCAATTCTGTTTTTATTCCACTGTGTTTCACTCCCCATTTCACTACCATGTGTGATAACACAGAATCAAATCCCAGCACTGTTCATGTGCAGTTCATTCAATGACTGTTATTTTGTAGTCACAGTATCCATGAGGAATGGCTCTGTTTTGAAATATCATGTGTGATATGGGAGTTTAAGTCATGCTTGTTAATTTAATGAATGTTGTAAGGAGATACTTATTTCCCAGACTTGAAGATTTCAGTAACTACGGTCCATTGATACCTACTTCAGTGGCTTTGTTGCTGGGTGTAGTAGACACATCTCTTCGTAGTACACACTTCATTAATACGTGCTTTTTGACAAAGTTCCTGTGACAAAAAGGCTTGTATATTGCTGTCAGTAATTGGGGCAATATGAGCGTGGTAAGTGGAGGACTGGCGTGGGTTGGGAAAGAGCTGGGTTGTGTTATGGGCTCTGCAATTAGCCTGATTGATGACTTTGAGCAAATCATTTTGCCTTCACCACTCCATGGCTTTACAAATCGGCACAATGGGGATAATGGTAATGAGTTTCTTTGTGGAACATTTTGAGTTCTGATAATGTAAAAGGCATTGCAAAAGAGCTAAACATTTATATTAGGCTTATATTATTTCTGTATTGCACGTATAAAAATGATTCCTCATTTACAGATGCACAGGATTTAGGTAATTATGGCTTTGCATAAATATGTAACAGTTTGCTAATTCTTTCTGTGAATATTTCAGTGTTAATCCCAGGATTCAGTGCTGTGGTGTGGATCCTATTTTTTGCACTCTCCTAGAGAGGAAGAAAGCTTTTTAACTCTATTGTTTCAATACCTGTATGCAAAGTGGATAACTTATTTATCACTGAAACATCCCCAGTCCAATTCTGTCTCAAATCAATAGGCAAATTCCCACTGGTTCCAGCTGCAGTTGGATTGTGCTCAGGGCTGTTCAGGAAGTAATCAGTGTTCATGGGGTATTTTAAGTTCCTTAAATAAACTACTGCAGACTTGCAGGTGATGCTGTCCCTGACATGGAGAGGTGGGGATAAACAATGTGTTTATCCAAGGCTAAACACATTGAAGCTCAGGGCTGGTTTCTCAAATGCCGTAACTGTTTCCCACTGTGTGTGGTGAGGATTGATGCACTGCCATGGTATCAGTGCAACACCATCTCTGTAGTGGGTGCAAATGTAAGCAGCAACATCCAACCCAAAATTAATCCTATCAAAATGAGGTAGGAACATTCTGAGGACCTGATTGAAACTAAAACTTGCTTCTTTTGGCAGCCAACCCCCATTTCAGTACCTCCTTCTCTGCCCTTTGCTACTGCCTTTGTTGTCCTGATCACTTAGTGTTTCCTTTTGTCCTGCAGGGAGCTCAGCGATAGGACCACATACACGTACCAGGTCGTCATTGTTTCCGGGAGGGAGGAGAGCGAGCCTTCCCCGGAGCTTGTCTATATCTCTGGAAGTGGATACTGTGGAGACGGGATTATCCAAATGTAAGTCTGGAGCGAGCAAACAGATAAATCTGGGCACATCTACTCAGCCAGAATCTGAGACTAGAAAGGAATCGATGACCTCTGATGTCTCCTCGGTTGAGGCCAGCTCTCATCTGTACATAATGACTCATGTGCCTGATGATTACCAGGATGATGACATTTAATTGGAACTTAGGCCCTGCTATCCTGGCACCAGGAGATACAGACAGAGATACAGATAATGGAGTCCAGACAGCAGGATCAATATGGACATAAGTCTATATGCTGTTTATGCTGTTTGTTCATGTATCTCTATCTTTATACATGGATATGACATTTCCTATATGGAACTGAAGTAGGCAGTGGAAAAACTCACATAGCCTTTGATGCTGTCCTTACACATGGAGTCCCGCGTGTCTGGCAGCTGGTGGACAGGGTAAAACCCTGCCCTGCATTGGACCAAGTTCCTGGTGCAACCTCTTGTTTGAGCACCGGAGCTGGGGTGCATTTGAAGGTGACAGATTTGGCCTCTGAGGGAGAGTGCTGGGAACTGCATGTTCTCAACCAGCTCCTCCCTCTTACCGCTGCCAGTTCCCAGACCACTGAAAATGCAAAAGAAAATCATTCACAACTATGTTAGGGTTTTTTCTTTTGCTGTGTTGGCCCTGAAGGCCACCTCCTTCAAAGCTTCCTGGCATTAGGTAATTTAATTATTTAAACTATGGAAGTAACAACAAGCAAGTGCTCAATCCAGCCAGTATTATTAGCTTGAAATAACGCTGATCAGCAATCACGTAGTACAACTCTGTCAGATGATATACCAGGCAGCAAGTATTTGCAGGATGAGGGCAAATAGGCAGGGAAATCAAAGGGAATAACCAAACAACATATTAATCCAGGGCAATCTTGGAGACAGAGGTGGAGAAAGACAGATTAATTTTGCTTTCCGTAACTTTTCTGCTACTGTTATGTTTGCACATTCCTCAAGCATCACTTGTGGCTTTGCAGCAAGTGTCAAACAATAGCTGAGCTGCCTCAGGAGTGAGCAGGAACCAGGCTGTGTCACAGCTTCTCTGGTTGTGGCCCCACTTACAACTGTGGCAGCCCGTCTCATCTGGTTCGCACTCTTCAACCTACATGCTGCTGCAACCATGCGGGATGGTGTGAAACAGGACCCCATTCCCAACACCACCTGCTCTCCTCTGCGTGCTGTCACCTGGAATAGCCTGGCACCAGGCTTTATGCCTTGTTATTCCCATGTTGGGATCACAGCCTGGCCCTTCCAGATTTAATACAAAGAGTTTCAGAGATTCCTGCTCTCTTTTTTTCCCCACCTGCTGATTTGCAGCCACACCAACTATGAAGGAAGTTGCTCATATCCTCATCAGAGAACAGCAAGTGGTATCCACATGTGCAGGAGACAACCGGCCAGGCAAGCCTGTGAACCAGGAATGATGAAAGTCAGGGCTGGAGGAGAAAGGGAGAGGTATTTTGAGGGTCAGCACACAAAGTGCTGGACTAGATCTGAGGGCTTTGGGGTTCTGCAGAGGGGTTGCAGCGATCATCAGGATGATGCCATTTGCCATCTGACTCATTTTTGCATGTGTGTGCCCTGCCTGCAGAGACTTGGGAGAAGAATGTGATGACATGAACAAGATCAACGGTGATGGCTGCTCCCTGTTCTGCCTGCAGGAGTTGTCCTTTAATTGCATTGGTAAGTCTGCTCATGGTGGGCAACAACTCTACGTAGAGTGCAAGGGGAAAAAATCAACAGTATTTTCAGCATTTCCAGCTGAAGAGTTGTCATGGAAGAGAGAAAAAAAGGTGGAATTCGTAGGTTTGAAAGGCGAACATATCTTCCCAGCTTCTGGTCATTTTGATGGGAAATTGGTTCTGCTGGCTTTGAAACAGCCTAGGACTTAAGGCTAAGTCAGCCATTGTGGGACTGATCCAAAGCCCATTGAAGTCAGTGGGTGGTTTTCCACTGCCTTCAATAGGCTTTAGATCTGGCTATGTGAGAAGACATGAACTAATTTTTTTCCTGGTAAACAGGAGGAGGAGTGAAAGGGGAAGGGACTGAGACCAGAAGCAAGTCCAGCTGAGGTCACACCTCCTTTGAGTTGCAAATCAATATCTGAGGATCAAAGGTCTAGCTAATCCCCTTTTTCAGAGGTGAAAACTACTTAATCAGATTTCATTTGCAAGCCTGGTTTGCTCTGATTAGCAAAACCTGTAAGCACAATGGCTGGAAGATGCTGGAGCTATCTGGGATAGCAGGGCTGCAGTTGTGAGCTTTACATATTTATTAAACTCTCTAGGAATGCTGGGGGCAGAGAAGGGAAATGGAGACCAATTTGCACTGCACCTTCTGTGGGGTAGCCCTAAATTGCGGGATTGCATTTCCCAACCAGGGCTCTGTGAGGGCTGGGGAAAGGTGGAACTTGCAGAACTTCTGCAACCAAAGTGAATGTTTATAAAGGGATGGCTTCTTCTCAAGATGTTCTATGAGATTCCCTATCTGGACTGACCAAGCAAATACGTGGTTCTACCTAGTGATCCTTCAGCTCAGGGCCTCAGTCCTAAGCAGATAATAATGATGTTGGTAAGACTGAAATTTGCTCTTTTTGGCAATCTGATGATTACCTCTTGTGCCTGGAGCAATGTAGAGAGGACCTCAGAGGCACCATGTTTCCCTTGGGTGGTAAGCTGGGGACTGCTTGTCTCATCATAACGGCTATGGTTTTACTTCAGCATCCCACACTGTGAGACTTGAGGCCTAATTTGGTGATGCTTTTATTTACATATTTACATATGTAAATAGCTCTTTTGAAATCTGAGCATATTTATGGTGGAGGCTAATTGTGACTATTGGTGGTCTTGCAGTTAGATTTGTATTTCAAGTAACTTGCTGCATTAGAGCCTCAAGCACTGAAAGAGATTAGTCATAATATTTTGAAAGTGAGATAAACACTTATGCAAATGTTTTGGGTTCTGCAAAAGTCAGGCAGAGCACGAGGTTCCAGCAAGGGGTCGGGTTGGAGCTGTGTAGCTGCATCTGTATCTCCCTGCTCAACAGCAGGTATAGGTCTGTACTTTGACCACATCCCAGCGTTACGTTAGGACATGACCCAGGTCCTCCCCTTTGTATACTGGTCATTAAGGAAACTGGGTTGTGTGGGCTGGGCAGGAGCTGCATCATGCTCAGACAGGAGTAACAGTGGCATGTCCCAAGCCTTAGACCACACAGCGTTGTCCTGCTAGGTGAGTGCAGGAGCCTGCTCTGTCTGTACGTGTATACATATTCATCTCCAGGACCAGCAACAGGGCTGGCTCAGAATGTGATAAAAACCTGTCTGACAGCAATATGATTAGAAAATGAAACAATGAAAACATACACACAGATATTTCTCTGCCATTACATAGGAAGTGATTTTCAGATTTGCTTGTGTTGAAAAGGAAAGGGGAATTCCAGAGGCAAAAAGTTGTTTGCCTGTCATGGGCTTTGGAAGGTTGTGGTTTAGAGCAGGTCCTGGGTTAAAAAAGGGAATGAGATCAACCTGTTTGTGAAATGCAGAATATGGGGACTCAGGTGAATCAGAGCGGCTGAATCACTGGAAAGGTGCATGGATACACACCTTACAGATGTTCTGTCAGGCGGCTTTACAGCTGTAGTGGTGAGACTGCTGTGGTGTTGATGGCCTTGGTGTGCATGCATAAGGGCAGACCTCTTTTGGGGCAAACACTGCCTTCTTCAAGTCCCTAAGAAAGGTTCAGAGGAGGTAATACCTGTGAAACGGTCCTGTCTGCTTTTGTGTGTGAATTAGGATATCTAGAGCTAAAGATAAATGGCTGGCTTATCTTTCAGACAAATGGACAGTACTGGTTTGTATTCTGGTTTAACATGTCAAGCATTAAAATCTCACCAGAAAACATAAAGATGTTGAGGAAGAGAGTGGCTGTGCATATTGCCTAATAAATAATAATAATAAAGTGCAAAAATTCAGCATTCTCCTCAATATAATAATATAAGACTGGGCCTTCTGCCTTCAGCCAAGCAAAAGTCTTCTTTGAAACTGGTGGGGTGTTTTCTTGGAATGCTTGAGTCCCTTTTTGAGGAGCATAGAAAAATACGTGTAATTTATTTCCATATTTACAAGGCTAACACATGTTATAATCCTGTAGGACAAGAAGTAATTATTTCAGACAGTGTTATTTTTGCAGTGATGTTCTTGTTGTATTATGTAGCTCTTTAGAGCCCAGGGAATCACTCCCCTTCACCAAAGAATGCCGTGAGCCTCAAACACATGTTCAGAGGCTTTGCTGAATTGGGGGCCTCAGGGTTTGATCTTGCAAACGTTTCCTTCCAAGGCATGTTTCTGAACTACCACAAGGCATTCTTTAGACTTCAGCAACTCTAACCACAGCGGTGAATGCAGTGCTTGTCACAAATTGTCTGCAGGATTGGGTCCCACATGACTGAGAATAATCACTAAACGTTTTGTTTGCAAAGGCAGGGCTGAAGGGGCACCACCACGCAAAGATTCATAGCAGGAGGCTTGATAGCCAAGCCCAAGTGAGCTTCTTCCTTCCAAAGCAGAGACCACACAAGTCACCTCATTTGGTAGAAGAGAGATACAACAGAGCCCTCAAACACCATCAAGCTTTAGACTTACAGCCATGACTCACAGAATGATTAGGTTTGAAGGAGTCTCTGGAGGTCTGTGGTCCCAGGGGAGATCTAACCTTAAAGTTAGATCCAGCTTCGATTTGGAGCATGTTGCGCAGGGTCATGTTCAGCTGCATTCAGGGTATCTCCAAGGATGGAGGCAGCCTGTTTGCAGGTGTCCCTTTGCCTCTCCTGCTCCCTTTGCCTTTTAGGATCACGAAGCTTATGGGGTTTTTAATTACCCAACTTTCCTTTGTCTAAATGGCACAAGGCTCTCAAGACACTTTGCACTAGTGCCTGTAACAAAATTATAGGGTTTTTTTTCCTCTCGGTGTTGTTTTCCTTCCTCCTTTCCTCTCTAATCAGATAACAGTGGATCAATCTGCTCTGCCACAGGAGGAGGGGTGCGGGGGAAGGAAGGAGGGAGGCAGGGAAGAAAACTGTGTGGTCTTACTGTGGGGCTGTCCTGGCCTTCTCTGAACACAAAGCCGAGTAACAGAAAACAGATAAGATGAATAGCGCTTTCTTCCTGCAACATGCTGAAGAGTGACAGTGAGATTAATTAATTAATTAATGGCAGCATCTGGCAGTACTCCTCCTTTAAGTTCTGTGTCACAATCATCATTCCCCATCCTGAAATCTATCATCACTACTTATTCCCCACCTCTCCTTTCTATTTTGCACATTTTGTCTCCTTCCCCGCACAGAAGCGGTTACCGGTGGAGAAGTTTCACTTGGCCTTTGGATATTTAGGAGCCAAGCGAACCGCAGTCGTGTCCGCTGTGACTGATGCACCCCTCTCCTACCTCTTGGCTGCTTTTCTTTCACCTTGCTCTTGATTCCTCCTGGGATAACTGATTTCTGTGATTACTGCGGATCTCAGCCAAGTTCAAGCCCTGTGTAAAACAGGCCCCATTTGTAAGAGTTATGGTTTGCAGTTGTGGGAACCCAGAGCTTTTTTGCACTTGATTCATTGAGAACTGGGTGTCTAACAAGCAGCTGAGCACCTTGTCCTTGGCGTGCACTCTCCCACACACCAAGGTTGTACACATGCGTCTAGATATATGTGCGGACATTGAAAAAGAGCGCTGCTTTCATTTGCATTCCTTTTGTTGAGTGTGATGTGCATTATGCATTGATTTAGCTCACCAGGGCTGAAGAAAGAGAAGGATATGATAAAAAAGATGCAGAGATCAATAAAAAAGAAGGGAGGGGGAGAGAAAGTAATATGAAAAGAGATGGGTAAAGACTGATAGACACATTGAACCACAGCTGGGAAGTTGCTGCAGAACTTCTATCTACCCTTAAGTTTGCCAGGTAATTTATGGGGTTTTCAATCGTGTCTTATTGGTGGTGTTATTGCTACACTTTATCTCCTTTGCTTATAAGGGACTTTTCCTAAAGCCTATTTACAGCAAAACAGGGCAGCGTTTCCGCTCACTTCCACATGTGAGTGATCCCTCTGCAGAATGTGAATGTTTCAGGTTAGACACACATCTCCCTGCTTAGTTGGATCAGGGCCTCAGGGATGTAAAATACAAAGAAAAGGCACAGGGTAGAGGAAAAGAGAAAATAAATACACCTAGTTCTTGAATTTACCACCAGTTTCTGGCATGCTTGAAACATTAGACACCAGTTCAGGGAAAAGTATGATTTTAATTTGACAATGATCCTTAAACACCTTTTCTCTTGCTCCTGCTTGGCCTCAAGTGTTTTTTTGCTACCTTACAAATCTGGATCTGTCCTTCTCCTACTTGGAGGCCTCTCCCTCCAGCTGTGAGCCTTACCTTTGTGAGAGCTCTATCCTTTACCTCTCCCATTATCCATAAATTAAGCACAGCACTTTCCCCTAATCTTATTGTTTGGCAGGCTGCATTGCATTCAGGGAAATGATTAATATTCATGAGCTCGCTATCTCTGTTTGGTGCATAATCCTCTAGGGAAATTGCAGTGTTAAATGAGTGACACAAACCTAATTTTATATGTCTTTTCTTTCCTTTCTTTCTTTTTCCTTTTTTTCCCTTTCTGACAGAGGAGTAATGTGCTTA